CCAAAAGACCAACCCAAACCGGCGCGCGAAAGTTCATGGTTAATGGTTGTAAAAACTGAACTGAAATGGTAGTTCAAACTGAAACTGACTCGCGACCCCAGCATCCGGTAGATTCGGCGCACTTCACCCACACAAGGGAACGTTGAAAACCCAAACTCAGAACGGGACTGTAACAATTACCTACACATTTCATTTGTGGGACGTGTGTGAATGGCATCAATCAACAAATGAGCATAGTCTAAGTCAGACCTGACAATATTTAGAGGACCGAGTGGGCGAAAGCATTGTTGTTGGCTCAGTAACAACAGCAGCAGCAACAACAACAAGAACAACAAAAAGAAAAAATTCACCGAAAGACGGGGTTTTGGAGAACACGGAAATGTAGTTGCGGTGGGGATGGTCATGTCGTTTTGCTATCACCTTTGGCCTGTGAGCTGACCAATCGAATAAGCGGATAAGTTCGACTAGTGAGAAACGAGAAATCCAATTTGACGGGACTGGAACGGGAAAGGAACGAAGGTACAGTACCAGCCGACCCCGATTGAGTGTCGGATTTGGGGGATGGAGTTGGACGTCGATCCAGACAGTTGGCTAGAACGCGGCAGGCGATCAGATTGTGCGCGGCTAATCGTTCCAAATCGGCCAGATTGTCCGGCGTGCCAAACAACTGGCCGAACAGTTCATCATTCAAACTAACCCCTGTGACCTTCTTAAGTGTGACCAGCATCGGTGCTTTTGTGGCCTGGGCAAACTGAGCACGGAACTGTGCATCTTCAAAATTATGCGTGGCTAACATGTACAAACCCGTAGTACCACCGCGTTGGCCACTGGCATTCTCATCATCTGTCGGGTGATTGGCATCGGCAGAGAAAATTCCTGAAGTCAGATGACGTTTGCATGCTTGAAACGCACCGGCACATCCACCAGGGTCGGATAACGGAGAGTCGGTGGCGGCAAGAAACAAACCCAGGCGGCGGGAGTAGATCTCTTCCGGATTGCCGAACGGTTTACACTCCAAAGAACTATGGGTCGTGGAAGGAAAGTCGAGAACGGGATCGCCTCCACTATCCAGCTGCAAAGCTCGTAGTGCATAGATCGTGCCCGCAATAAGCGACCGATGACAGTTGAGGATCAGATACTGCATGAAAAAGACACCAGTAGGAACAATGCTGTAGTTACCCAATCATGAAATTCGATAATATTGAATGGGAAAACTAAAACAAACAGAACTGGTGCCCAGATTGAACGTGATTTTATTTGATTCAATATTGCTGTTTTCCCTTAAGGGGAAAATGGTTCAGTATGAGACTATCATTGTAAACAGGCAATTTCTGAGACGGCTCAGGACTCGAGCTCAATGCAGACAAATAAATTAACTGAATAAGGTCAAAGCAAGGCGTTTCTCACTTTGGACACGGATAATCATTAATTTTGAAGACAAGTGGAGTTCTCGAATAACAACTTTGCACAATGAATAATATGCACCCATCGAAGAAAGTGGAAAATGTGCATACCATAAAATTTATTTTCATTCAATGGTTAGACATCATAAAAGTGGTTCATTTAACCTGCGTTTGGCCGGGACCACCATCTTTGTACCTGCAGTATTTGGTTCCATTGCAAACTCAGAAACGGTGTAGTGTGCGTCAATTTTGCTTCGCGAATGAAACAAGAGAGGAGCACATTGGTACAGTTCCAGCTCCGGGGCAAAAAGACGGTCCGGAGGAATCGATGTCTACAAGCAAGTTCTGTCTACGACTAGTCACACTTCCCTTGCAAATTGTTCCCACTGAGCGTCTGGAATAAAAAAAACCTGTTGAGGAAGCTCTACTCGCTGTGATGGAGATGTTTTCTCCAAGTGAGATGAGAAGTCAACATCTGGGTAAATAACAACCGGATCGGTGAACGAAAACCTAGGGGAATCGGCAAAACCCCTGAATCCAATCCAACCAAGAGTAACAAACAAACCCACATCTTTTTGGTTCCACCAGTCATCACGGACTTCGTTGGACAGATTGAATGTTTATAAAGGTAGAAACGGTACATAATCTGATTAGTTATAGACCAGTAGGTAATGAAATGGGAACTCTGAGCGACGTTCTGGCGAGAGGACCGCAGAATGTAAAACGCGTAACGTTTACCTGAAGTCGCCGTACGTTGGCTTAAGGTTACATGTCATTAGCCAAAGTAAACAGTTACTTTGAAACGTTATTCACAAACGGACAGTATGGTCCTGGAAGAAGCGGACATCCTGATGAGACTGTAGATGGAAGTGGTGTGATAGCTGGCGTGTATTCACGAACTGACGAACAAAAAAGGGTGGTTTTATTACCCATTCTCGTCAGTACGGCTCTTTGGCTACTTACTAAATGTAAGGTACCTCCTGTTTAATAAGTAAGGCAAGAAACTAAGAAGAAACCACTAAATTGATAAAACAAGAGCTCTGCAACTGGCCGCATTCAAGGTCTATACACTATCAGATCAACCAACAAGCAACCTTAATAAGAAACCTCGAAAATCTTCATATGGATGTACGATGAGTCTCCGAATGGCGTCTTCAAGACCTCGCGTCAATTGTTACCTTGCGTTCCTCAGACCTAACTTCATATTTACACTCTACCGAAAGAATCGACAATTGTCACAGCAAAAGGGGCGATCGGTGTCCGTTACAGAATCTGTTAATTAAAAACCGAAATGAGATGCAAATCTCATCGCCAGTTGGTGTTTTATGGTTGAGGTTGAGTTTACCAGTTTGGTACCCGCTCTGGTATGTGGAGAGGAGAGCAAACCCCAAAATTACAGTTCGTGCATCCACTCAGTTTCTTTGCAACTTTATCCTCACTGTCTTCTGTCTCTGGACCCTGATAGTGTTTCTAATTTCCTCGTTTTGGGCGACCAGGGAACGTAACACAAAATACCTCGGAAAACAGTGCGCATCACAACCTATTCCGTAATCTTACCTCCAATTCGGAGCCAGGACCACAGGGTCTGAGTGCGGGGGTAATGGGAAGTTTTTCCGCACTTGATTGAGATTTGTTTTTCTCGTCGGTTGAGGATAGTTTGTTTCGTCTAGATTTCTTCTTATTTGAAGTTTTCGATCGTCGTGCTGGTGCTTCTTGTGGCTTGGTGGATTGGGGCGGCTCCGGATTATCGGTCGAATTGTTATCCGGTGTTAAAAATCGTTCAAACAGGGCAGCCATATTCTGAAATAGTCCAATCATAAATGTGTAGATGAAAGCCCACTCTTGGGCGGCATACAATTCGAGCTGAAATCCGGTTACCAGATAATCCCACGCGAGTTGACAGTAGTAATAACAAACATAGCTACTCAGACGCAATGGGACAAAATACGGTGGCCGTTCGCGATCCACAGTAGTCTCGGAAGAGCCGGTGTCGGTACTTTTCTGACCCGTGTTCGAGTTGTCGCCCAGATCCAATTTTTTAGCTAACTCAAGACTCATGATCCATTCGACACGGCAGCACTCAGTCAACAAATCGGGGAGTTTTTGGAGCAACCGGTCTAGTGCAGAACGCTGTCGTGACCGGTTCAGATAGTAAATATAGGGGATCTGAGAATAAAGGAGGAAGAACAGGGGCATAAAGCAGAATGGATAGGGACAATGTGCGAAATCGGTGGGGCGCCAGGATTCTAAGATAAGACGAGTTCTAACTAGCAGAACAGAAACTGACGGGACATTTTGCCTAACGCAAATGAGTGGCCCGAACGAAAGTTCAAATAGGAGTGATGCACAGGCCGAGGCCAGTAGGCTCAGCAGTATCAACAGAAAAAATCCTATACAGAGCAAGGTCGAAGAAAAGCGAAATACACAGGAATGGATTATTTTGCACGCCGAATGACATATATATATATATATATATATTCATATATTAATGAGTGGACAAAATTTCCCTGGAAGCACACCACCGGTTTTGTGGTTCTTGCCGCTGGTCAGGCATGCGTATCCGGTAGTCTTTGTCTTTTTATTCATACACCTGTACCCAGGAAATGTATTTTTGTCACAATAACCTTATTTGCAACACCAGGTACATTGTTTGGACAGAAGATAAAAGACTAACGAATACGCATGCCTGACGAGCGGCAAGAACCGCGAAATCGGTGGTGTGCTTCCAGTCTGGTTCACTTATTATTTACTTCAGAAAAGATACGTGACTCTAAGGTGTAGGTCATGCAACTTCTCCTTAATAGCCCGGATTTCAACGTGATTGAAAATCTGTTTTCTGTTTTGAAGAGAGAGGTCAATGTGCTCAGTATACATTGCACATTGGAGGCAAAAGTGCGATACGTAGAAAATGACTTCATAACAAAGTTGGTGAATTCGATGCCGAAGAGACTCGAAAAAGTCCCAAAGAACAAAGGCAGACCAATCCACTATTAGTGTACACAAACTTTACATATTGCTTATTATCAATATTAATTTGTTGTTAATAAAGACTGTTCCACTCTCTTTAGTTATCTTTTAACTTATCATGGTCTAGGTCAACCACTACTGACGAAATGAAAGTATCCGCTGCATTCTGAACCATTCCATCTGCTGAATATAAACGAATCAGAAAAACCACGTCTATGAAGACTCACCAAGGCTTATTATTATTATTTGGAAAAATATTTACTTCAGGATAAATGCTGTTGCCTATACGAACCGACAAGTGTTTCACAGGGACCCGTTGCTTCAGTATCGATTAGCTATATATATATATATATATTTATGCAAGTCAAACTCTCGGTTTCACTACTGCAGATGTAATCAGTAGTTAAAAATTACAAAATGATCACTATGAATTTTGGGGTAGTGGAGTATTCGATTAGATTATATGATGAATTCTGTCACGTACCGAACAGATGAACGTAAAGGCTAGGAAGCATTATACAGGTGTTTCGATTCGAGTGGGTCGCACCAACAGTGCTTCCAGTTAATGCTTCGTTTACTCTGTACGTGACAACTAGTCAGGTTGGTAATGCTGTCCACAGAGTCATAACCCTGGATACTAGAGGAGATGAGCGCTGTGTGGTGTTTTCAACCAGCATTCAAGGAGGGACTGTTATATTGCATGCAGACAAAATGAAACAATGGTCTGGTTAGCCGTTCTGTAGGTAGATGCATTGGCCCTGCTGATGAGATTCAATCAGATGTGCAGTGCTTCCTAGAGCTTCAGTTCATTCCTCATTTGGACTGTAAATGGTGAAATTCATCAAATAATTCTTGGGTAACATAAGCCCCGCTCTGGTACACAGGCACATACACTGCCCATTTTGTGATGGAGTGTTGCTGCCCACCCAGAAAAACGTACGCGCATGCATGCACCCACAAACGGAACAACGTAATAACCCGTACGATTGAGGCTAGGTGGGTGGATCTTATCGAGTGCGATTACTCAACACCAGACACAGGTTACTTGATCGTTCGTATCATGAACTTGTTAAATTGGCTGAGCGCGGGAGTTTAAATAAGAAGTAAGTGTTGCAAGCAGAGCGAATAAGCCTGGGCTGATTAACTAAACTGTAGACTTATGCTTAAAAGGGAGCGGATACAAAGCACATGCTCACGCCCCGTGACGAAATTAGGCCTGTCAATCCCATTTTGACTGTGCAAATACTCCCAGTTGATTTCAGTCCTCCAACAGAAATGAAAGTTTCCCGAAGAAATTCACCTTACAACGTATAATGCTTCGGCCAGGATGGGCTGTCTCCATTGGCTCTTAAGGATGGAGGTTCAGCGTTGGTCTTGGAGTTGATGAAACTGCTGGGTTCAATATGGGCGCGAGAACAGGTTCCAACTGAATGCTGTGAATATCATTTACGTCATTGATCAACAACAAAGGTGATAGATCCTCCTGTGCAAACCACAGGGGGATCAGTTTAATCAACATTGTTTCTAAACTTCTCGTTGGCATCATCATTCGTCGAATGCCTGCCGCGTGTGAACAGTGCACACGTGAGAACCAGGCTGTTTTTAGACCTGGTCGAGGTTGTATATATCGTTTGCCAAACTCTGGAGCACTGGCATTCCTTTCGTAGACGCATCGTTTCTATCTTCCCCGATCTGAAAGAAACCGCTCTGTACTCTGGAGCCAACTCTCGTAAAAAGGTTTGTCTGCGAAGTTTACTTCAGTACTACGATTCCTTTATACTAATAACCGGAAACAAGACCGACCTGAAGGCATCTTTTGCCTGAGTTACCACAGGAAGCGCTGTTCGTTAGGATTGCCCTTTCTCTCTCTTTTCTATAGATCTGACTTTGGAAACAGTCACATCCTCGTATGAGGATAGCGGCACCAATTTGCTCCCGGGAGACAAACTGTCTGATCTGGAGTAAGCAGACGACACTGTATTGCTAAGCAAATATCCGGGTAAGTTGCAAGCAATTCTGGCTAGTTTGAGTACAAGCGTACCTATGTTTGGAATGCGTTTTAAAACTTCAAATGTTGCTAGACTGGCCTGGCCGAAACCTCACTTTAACTGGGGAAGTAATAAAGTAAGTGGACAATTCTTGCTACTTGGGCAGCTATATATCAACAGGTAGAAGCAGCATGAATGAAGTTTCAGTTCGCACACAGAAGGCTCAATTGGTATTTGCCAACTTGGGGCACCTGTGGCGCCGTCGCGACATCCGGGTGTCTGTGAAGGGTGGAGTGTATGCTGCAGTAGTTGGGCCAGTTCTACTTGAGGTGCAGAAACTTGGTCATTAAGAAAACAGAATTACGAAAGCCTGTCGGTGCTTGAACACCGCTGTCTACGCAGTATTGTACGAATCTGGTGGGACAACCTGAAGAGCAATGCTGGGGTTAAGCACAAAGTTTTATGTAACCGCGGTTGCCCACTGGAGCAAGTTGTCCACTATCATAGATTACGCTGGTTGGGGCCTGTGTTACACATGTCAACAAATAGGTTGCAAAGGCGCGCGATGTTTGCCAAGGCAGGTGGTGGATGAAAAGTCAGGTGCCCAAAGATTTGGAATGAGGGTATGAAAAACCTGAGTTCGGTTGTTACAACCATTAACCATGCACTTTCGTGCGCCGGTTTCGGTTATTGTCTTTTGGTTGCCCATTTGGATAAAAGAGCGAAATGAAGATTGGAATGTCGAAGCGAACTCAAGCGGAAGATGGGGAATTCATATGAAAACCCTGACTGGGATACTCGATCATTTATGTTCCACTAGGCTCCTGGGATGGCGATGTCGGGATCATTGTAGTGGCCAGAGAAACTGAATTATATAGTCGAGTGTCGTAAACAGTGGTACTAAAGTATCTTCTCAATTTGTTTGCAACCGTAGTCTACCGGAATTCTCCATTTTCTCCTCTGCACTGCTTTCGACTTTCCAAAACTGAGGAGTGAAAGTGCATGGGTAACAGTTGTATAAACTGAAACTGAGATATGCTGATTGAAAAAAATGTTGCAAAGGCGAGAAGTCACCAAAAGTTGACCGTGTGAAGGAAACCTTTACCACAGAGAAAGACAGATAGAGTGAAACTATTCATTCGGGTGTATTTGGGCAGCAAAACTAGTTCAAGTTAATGTGAAGTGATAATAGCAGCATTCTGTGATGGGCATGAGGAGTCGCTAAGGTCATCAGCATCACTGGTGGCGATCCACGTTGACCCTAAAGAACTATGTTGTTCTGTAACGTCACCCCAAATTAGTATCAGTCCACCGTGTAAACTGGATTCA